TAGTCTCTCTCTCTCTCTCTCTCTCTCTCTCTCTCTCTCTCTCTCTCTCTCAGATGCACGCACGCAATCTAAATACTCCGTGGGCATCTGTTGAATTGGTAGCCCGGTCTAACCAGGACAGACTCATTGAGGTCTCCTCCCTACCATCCACCATCCATTTGCAAGGTACAAAATGAATAGGGGATCACCACCCCACCATAATCACTTGCTCTTTACCACCACCGCTCGATCATTGATGGACCAAAACACCACCTCCCACCATAGCCCACCTCTCCACCACTGATGCACCAGTAACCACTTTCACACAAGTGCAAAAAACGGTAATCACAGATGTAGAATTCCTTCTTCAAAGAACCCAACCACTAGACAAAGACCCCATGCTTTTAACCACAACCATAATTCCACCAAGTAACTTGCTTCAAAACAGGAATGACACTACTCTTCGGCATAATTAGATTTTATGTTAGTACAATGTAGGAATTGTTAAGATTGAGAGAAAAGAGAGAGAGAGGGAGAGAAAGAGAGTAATATTCAATCACAAGATAAAGTAAATACACATGTTTTTTGACAATCTAAAACTTGTAGGGCACTGTGCCCTATAGGTACACATATTCCTGTGGGGGTTACACTATGGGTAGGTCAACATGCAAAAGAATTACAACAATTACATTAGGAATTACAATAGGTGTTACAGCAGGTTCTAATGGGCACGAGATCCATTATTCATAAGGGAAGGCATGAGGCCATAACACCATAACAGCCACTTCATGAGGCCCATTATGTATAGGAATTACAGCTGTTACATACGTTTAATGGCCATGAGCCCATAACAGTTGTGACACCCCCTCAAACTAGAGTATATATATCATAGATGGCCAGCTTGCTCAAAGTATCCTTGAATCGAACTCGATTAGAGGCATTGGTAAGTGTGTCTGCCAACTGATTCTCGGAGCGATGAAATGGAGTACTTATCGTCTTTGAAGAGAACTTTTCTCTGCCAAAGTGGCAGTCCACCTCAATATGCTTGGTTCTTTCATAAAATACTGGGTTCGAGGCAATATAAATTGCTGTTTGATTATCCAAATGTAGAGGATTAGGAGTTGATACATTAACACGAACCTCTTAAAGAAGAGCACGAAACCATGTCATTACTGCCCAGTTCTCACTTTTCCATTCATCATGGGATGGATTGTCTATGGAAGGCTCTTTCACTTTTCATGTGATATAACCTAATTTCCTCTGGCTTCCTATGAAGACTTTGGCAAATTGGGATTATTCTAAGTATTTTGTCCCATCTAGCTAACTATAGTGATCATCAATCCTAGGTGGTCAGGCTGACTACTTCCCAAGGAAACATTGTGCCTAATTTCTAACATTTTTCTTCTCTCTCAAACTCAAAACCGTACGATTTGGGCAAGAAAGCTATGGAATAGGTATTGAATATACTTGTATAATTTTTTTGTGTTGGATAAGTCAGAGAGTAGGACTTTTTTGAGATTAGGACAAAAATTACTTTTGGGAAAGGAAAGTGGGATAATCTTATTTGGAATATGAAGTTGCCGATACACCACAACTTCAAGCACAAGAAGGAAGAAACATCGTGATTCTAGGGTTGTTGTAAGTCATGGATATCCTAGGGTTTCAAGCCCTACTATGATACAATGTTAAGATTGAGAGAGGAGAGAGAGAGATAGAGAGTGATATTCAAGCACAAGATAAAGTACATATATGTCTTTTACACTCTACAAATTGTAGGGCAATGTGCCTATATATACACATATTCCTATGGGGGTTACACTATGGGTAGGTAGGGGTGGCAACAGGTCGGCTCCAGCTGGACTCGGACCCCACAGGTCCAAATTGACGATACCCGTACCCATACCCGATGGGTAATTTTGGACCCGGGACCCCGACCTGTACCCGACACTAAATTTTTCTCTCTCTAGATTTCTTCCTTTTTTAGATATCTTCCTCTCTCTTTCTACGTTCCCTCTCTACCAGTGGTTTACTCTCTATGATCTCTCTTGCTTGGCCCTGCTTTATGGCCCTCACCTTATGACATCTCCCTCTCTCTTTGTGCCCTCCCTCTCTCTCTCTCTCTCTCTCTCTAGAAAAACAGAGTGAGAGTGGTAGGAAACAGAGGCAGAGACACTCTATTTAGAGAGAGTGTGTTGGAGTATAGAGAGAGAGGGAGTTGAATAGAGAGACGAAGACTGAGTTTAGAGAGAGACAATGAGAAAGAGAGAGGGCAGTTGAAGATCGAGATCAAAGATATTAAGGAAAAGCAATCATGCCATGGAGCTTCTAATGAACTCAAGGAAGCTTCTGGAAGCTAGGGTTCATACCACCACCATCCAAGCAATGTCCAGGGAGCTGACTGGTCGCAGGGCCGCAGCAAAAGAGAGGGCTCAGGGAAGGATCCCTGTTGTTGTGTTTAAACAGGTTAATGGCGTCGTAGGGGGTTTGGGAGGCACGGGCAGCAAAGGACTAGGAGGTAGAATAGAGATATGGGGATTTCAGGTTTTCGCTTTTAGGATTCGATATAAAAAGAAATTTAAAATGCATATTTAGGTAGATCTTCAGGGGTGTACAGTATATATTTAGTCCCTCACATTATATACCTCAACAAAATTTATAAATTAAAATTTCGGGTCCGGGTACCCGCCGGGTCGGGTATAGCAGGACCCATACCCGGACCCGGGACTATCCGGGTATCCTTTATTGGACCCGGACCCTACCTGTTGGTCCAAAACTTGGACTCATACCTGGACCCATTTCGGGTATACCCGCCAGGTCGGATACGAGTCCATTGCCACCCCTATAGGTAGGTCAACATGCAAAACTATCTCAAAGTTTTTATGG